ATCTTTGGGGTCAGTGAGTATCATTTGTACAACTTCAAGCTGTTTGCAGTGTTGCAGCTTTTCTAAATAGCTTTGGAAGTGATACACAGAGGAACCTTTGGGTGACTTTGATGGCAAAAAGCTCTTTAGATGTTGCTGCATTGGTTCCATGGGGACTTACTGTTTTAAAGGAATATTTTTAACCCTGTTATTTGTTTTTACCAGCAGCCTACGCCAACTATTTTGCTTCAGAAATTCTCTATTGCATCACTGTGTATCACACTGTTACCGTCTGAGTGCTCTTAAAAGTTTTTTTTTTTTTTTGAGATTTCCCCACTCTCACGCTCAAAACAAAGGATTACTCCTACACCACTATGTGTATTTGAAGGGAGAAGCAGGAGAAAAAGACTCCACCTGCTGTTGTAGCAGGGGAATCCACAGCTCTGCTCGAGGGCATGTGAACATATGCCATGCTTTCCCATATCTCTTGGCACCAACATATTTCTCCATTTCCTTAATTCTCCTCTTGTGTGACTGCCAAATATAGCTTCCGCTCCACCAGGCTAAAGTAACTGGGTCACTGGAGTTGTGAGTAATTAGCTGATAACAAAATATGTTTCTGCTTTACAGCACCAGAGGCCTGTGGACTGAGGTGCAAAAGTCATGTTGAGGTAATGATTTGGGGCAGGATTTAACGGCGAGGGTGAAAGGTCAAAGGTGAAAGTGTGCAAGAGGCCACAAACGTGTGGAGGAGTGTTTGCACAATCTGCAAGTTTGATCAAATGAATCAAAAATATGCATGAGGAGGAGGAGGATGTGTATGATATCCAGTTTCCAGACTGTGAATACTAAAAACAACTGGGACTGTGACTGTGAGCTAATTATGATTTCTTTTCAGGAATAATTTACAATGTCAATGGAAAAATGGTCTGCTATGAAACATTACAGGCTCGTAATGTTTTCTGTTTATTGTAAAGTGGATAAAACAGATATATATAGGCTCACTGACAGCAGGGTGAATACGTGCTACGTCACAAGCAGTAAACAGTAAATGTTAATTTGAATGCAAATAAACATCCACTGTGATGGGACCAGGAAAGAGCCAGAAAAACATTAAGACAGCAGGCACCAGCTTTCTCCCTTGATGCTCCTTTGGCTCCCTAGTTTCTTTATTTGTTCAAATGCACTAACACATAATATACCAATGCTGTATAATGCAATTTAGTACAATATTTGTGCAACAAATGCTACATTTCTCTCAGCTCATAGAGTTGAATTGTTCTTGGGGCTATGTGAGAGACATGTTTCTGCAACCATATGATAAATTTAGGGCCAAATGTTTATTTATTGCTGCTAAGACAACACAAATACCTGTTGTATAATTTACAGTACAAGGCATGTTGTAGTTTTGCTGTGAAAAAAGATAAAAGATGAGCATGCAGAAATTTTATGTTTTTGTTGTTGTCAAATAAAAACCATTAAAAGACCAAACCAAGTGTTTGTCTGTTTGTCGACACTTCCAGCTTACATATCTGTGGCCTGAACTGAGGACATGAATCTTTAAAAACAAGTCACAAATAGTTGAATAGCTGAAACGTCTGGGCTTTGTAGCTTTTAGCTATTGTTACTCAAACAGGGTAATAAAAGAACATTTCATCAGTGTGGATCTTTTATGTGTTTTTAACAGAAGCCATATCAGAGGAGCTCTTCAAAAAGTGTGATTTTAAACTAGGTGCCATTTAACTTTAGGCTTGGTCTGTTTTTCTGGTTTTATTAGTAGGTTTTGTCAAGTTCATGCTACTACTGTATCACTTGAAATAGTAGAAGCTTTCTACAATCAATGCATTACTTTTTTGACCTCTCTGCTCAGTTGTTAACCAATTTTCATGATCTCAGTTGCAGCAGATTCTTTTCAGGTGTTACTACTGACTGGTGGGAAACTGAGGTGTGTCCTGTGCAGTCAGCTTATTGTCACTGGCTTTTTTTTTTTTGTTTGCTTTCAAATCGTAATTTCTCCAAATGTTCCACGTGGCCCCCTGAGGTAAACATACCACTGTTCTATGGCACAGAAGAATAAAACATATCAGGCTTTCCATATACAGGCAATTCCTGTAGTGGGATCAATCCATGGTTGGTTTTAGTCTTTTCATGAGATTTGTTAACAATAAGGGGGAAAAAATACTATATCAGGTTTAACTATAATAATAATAATAATAATAATAATAATAATAATAATAACTATGCAAAGAGATACTTTCAGAGAAAGTATTATTGTTTAGTAGTTGAAACCTCTTTTTTGGCATTTGAATGGGGGCATTTCATAAGAGGTACACCTGACAATATAACGCAATCCAACACAATTTTCATGCAATAAATGCTACATTTGTAAACTCATACTCTTTCAATTTGTTGTGTCCAAGAAATGCTAATTCAATTCTATGCTAAATTTAGGGGTGCAATTTACTGTAATGGTGTACTGGTATTAACAAAAGAGCACAAATATGTGAAAATATGTGTTATATACTATATACATGTACATACAGTATATAGGTACATACATCTATACACATATACATACATAGATGTATGTATTGTTAATATAAACCATATTACAGTTTTGGTTTAAAAAGATTAAAGATTAATTGCATTTTTTTCAGCATTTCTAAAGCATCAAGCAGCCTATTCCGAGAAAGTGTTATCGTTTTGTTTCTTATCTAGGGTGAGACCTCTTTTTTAGCCTTTTGAATGAGGGGTGCAGAGCTTGAAATAGCTCAGAATAAGATGTGTGCAGTAGAGAGGGCAGGGGTTAGTGAGTAGAGACACTCCAGACTTCCAGGCAGGAATCAGCTCGCTCCAGCTGCCAGAGTAATAAAGTGTTGGCAGCTGTCCATGGTGCTGAAATCAACCACTATCTCTTTGAATGGAGAATAAAAGGAGCTGGCCGTGGTGCTGAGATACTGATGCTGCTAGGCTAATGGCACATCTCACAACAACTGAGCATCAGGTGCATGCATATACAGTGGCTGTTGTATATCCACACTGCTGTTTTCCAATACTGGAAAGACAGATTCTGTATTGAAAAATGTGTTGAATATGACTAATGCAGGCCTGGAACGTAGCATACAGATCCAAGAATAGGAGATCTAATAGGGAGCAGTGGGTATTGCCACATACATAATGTAACACAGAACTATTTCATGTGAAGTGGATATCTTACATGTGTGTGCTTGAAAATTTTGACGCAGTTTTTACCACAGCAACACATTCTTCCACACGAGCATGCCATCCTTTTTTCTTTTTTTGTTTGTCTGACTCCCTCATCTGTCTTTCTCTTTGGTTATCTTTCACATGCAGGGATATAAAAAGAGACAGGGAGAAGCAGCTCCCCTAATCTGTTCTTTGACCTATAGTCTGAAGGCTGGAGCAGCTCTGAAATGTTTTTCATCCGTATCTTGCAGAAGATGGACTCTGTGGTGCGTGGCTTTGAGGCAGCCCGCATCGTACACCTGCTAGGGGTCAATGATCATCCCAACCCACGGGTGCAGAAATTACTGGACACAGACAGATTACTGACTGGTCTAGAAATGCCTGGCTAAACTTTATTCCTTCCCGCTCCTCTCTGGGCTCATAGTGATTCTGTGCATGCGTGTATATGCCGGCTATTCCAGAGCCATCCTCCCACCTCATCCCTGGTGCGAGATAAGTATTGTTTGCGTAGCAGCACATTTCATGCTCGGCTTCCCCCACCTGTTCCCTGACCTGCAGAGTCTGAAGGCTGGAATAACTGTCAAATGCCTTCACCCATATCTTTCGAGGATGACTGAAAGGAGGTTTTGTCTTGAGTTTCAAAAGCATTTCTTTTAATGGAGCACAAAAACAAACTTTACTCAAGCATTTTGAAAAGGTGATCCTGGTGGTTATTTCTAATTTAATTGCAGGAGTTTAGTGTGTTTTTTAATTTCTCGCCCGCAGGTTTGTGGCCGCATGTGAAGGTCAAACTATTAATCAAATCTATCAGCCTGATTTGCATAATGAACTCCTGCAGAATTTGTCTGGGCCTAAAAGATACCTACCCCCACCGCCTCACCCCCACCCGCCTCTCATCATTGAGTCATTGAGCCAATTTAAGTTTCCAACCTTCTCTGTGTGGTGTCTGACTGTGTCCGCCAGTTATCAAAAGCAAATGCAATGAGTTTTTTTTTGTGTGTGTGTTGTGAGAGACGCAGGGCGGAGGAGCACAGCTGTGTCTGGTTCAGTTGGCAGGAGTCTGTTTTATTTTGCACAGCAGTGATATGCAATCATAGACTTATTTGAAAAAGAAAAAAATCCTGCATTCTCTTGACATTTTTATCACTTCTCATTAGTCCTCAGGAAGAAGTTTTGAAGCCAAATGTACTATCTAAAGATCTGAAAGTATTTGATCATTCAACACGAATCCAGCTCTGTCCGAGATATTCAGTTGAAAAGAATTTTTTTTAAAAGTTAGAATTTCCTCGTCAAGGCTGCATAAAGAAGTACAAAGAAAATGCCAAAACAAACTCCAGCAAAGTTAAATTTCTCACCTATAGGAAAAGCAAAATCCTCAAAGATGAAAATCAAAACAGTTATCTTTGCGCCCTGGCAGACGCACTGCCTCCAACACCAGAGAAACACTGCAAAATCAGAGAAAAGCACCAAAACCAAAATCACACCAAAACAAGCCATGATAAAGGAAAAACGCCAGAAAATAAGCAAAAGGTGGGGGATTAGAACAAGTGAGCTCGTAAAGAAGCTGCTTCGGGAAGAGAAGAGGAAGAAGAGAGAGAGCAGGGAAAAAAAAAAATTATCAAGAGCGTCCGCAAGCACGTAGGGCTATTTCTCAGTGGATGTCGCCGGAGCACCAACACTCAGCATCCAAGATTTAAATCATTGCATGCAGAAAACGAGAAAACACTTTCCCCATGTCGAAACACCAAGACAAGGAAGGAAGAAAAAGAGGATAAAAATATGCTTAAGAAAATGGCAGTGGAAAATGTACTCACCGAGCGGGAGTAAAACGTTTCTATTAAAAAGAAATTGGGCGTATAGCGGTGGCGGGTTGGTGGTGTGCAGGATTGTGTGTACCGAGGCTCTGCGTCCCTTTTGCGCTCTCTATCGCTGCCGGTTGTTGAGTCATGTGACTCGGGATTGGCCAGAGTTTTTGAATCAGTCCAAGCTTTTCTCTAGTAGCAACACGCGAAGGTATTCAGCGCTGTAATAGATATAGGAGCTCTTCGGGTAATGTCACTGATTTTTCTTCCCAGCGCTATTCTAGTTTCTCAAAATAGGGTCCGGGCACCAACAGAGGTCACTGACGGTGTCCCAGGAGGGTCCATACGGGAAAGTGGGGTTGATTTTTGCCAGGTACTCCATGGAATAAATGCAATTTTGTTTTGTTTTTTTTATAAATAACGGGATTCACACAGCAGTTGTCTCTCCAGGCAGGTTTAGTGAATTATTCAACTCTCTTTGAATAATAATGATTCCCTTCTGTATGTACTCTTATCAAGGATCTCTTAAAATTTAATGAATTTATCTGGGGGCTCATGTGGTATGAAAAAGTTTGATATACAATATTTTGGTCAATGCATGTTATATCAAACCTGGATTGGCCCAAGGCAAATGCAGATGCAAATAAGCTGTCAGTTGTCCTAGAAATCATAAATGTAGGCCAATGTATGAAGACATCATATGGTTTCCAACCTGAGAGTCAGGACCTGCCAAGACATTGCAAGATGATTAACAGGCAAAACAGGAAAACAAATAGGTTATCTGCCACACAAAATTATATGTAATAGAGTATCTATAGAGTTTCTTCTGATGTTTCCAGATTTTAGAAGGAATTAATCAAATGTAATGATGGAATCACAATTAGCTTTGTTTTAACGAAAAAGGCTGAGAACTGCTGCATTAAAACACAGGTGCTGGTTTTAATGGCACTTGCATTTTTCCCTCTACTGTCTTAAAACAATAGTTTAACAGTTTGGGAAATTAACTCATTTGCTTTCTTACAGAGGGTTATGAGAAGATTGACACCGTTCTTATTTTTCTGTACGGTAAATATGAGGCTACAGTTAGCAACTAGTTAGCTTAGCTAAGCAGGGGAAACCACTAGCATGGCTTTGTACAAAGTAAACAAAATTCATCTACCAGCACCTGCCAAGATGTCCAACTATTGCTTTAAAAGATAATTCCAATTCTTTGGGTTTATTTTTTCTAGATTTTGTCATTTCTCCTCACAGTTTTTGTTAAATGTAAGTAAACACGTGTCTGAAGTGACGGTTGATGTTTTTCTGTATTATTGTTTTTCTGTATTATTTTACTGCTACGTTCACTATCTACAACTTGCAAAATATGTGAATCAACAACATATCCTCACTATGTCAACAGAATATATATTCCTGTATATGTTTCCTACAACACATATTTCCAGTTTAGTAGAGATATGGTTGCACAGGAAGACTGTGCGCACACCACTACAGAAAGAACAGTAGGTCAAAGTTTTTGTTTTCTCATACAAAAAAGACAGGTTTGTTTAAGACCTGTCTGACTGCTTGTGTTTCTTCCTTCGTCATATTCACCACAGTCCCATACTTCAGCAATTAACTTGGTGCACAAAATGGCATCACAAGTGATAGAAATGACGCCCAAAACTTCAAAGATTCGACTCAAGTTACACGTATAATAAACTGGAGTTACTTTTTAAATCACCACATTTGCAACATAAAAAAGAAATTGTTGCAACAACATCAATCATTTTTCATTACATTGCTCCTTGCAGCCTGCTACAAAGATTTAGTTCCCATTGCTAATTATCATCTTTGCTGAAGGCTGTTATAATCCACTGCATGGCTGAAAAAGGTTTCCATATATCATCAGTTTAACAACTTCAACTCTGATGCTCTCTCATCAAGAACTACTTAACGGATTAATCAACTAAGTTTCTTTTCAGCCTTATGAGAATATTGATCATCAGTGAAGATGTCAACAAGTTCTTTATCAGAGTTTAAAGCTTGGTTAACATCAGGCAATGAGTTCACCTGCAGCCCACAGTTGAGAAGCAACATTGAGCATCTTACAAAATATTAAGGTAACTCCAGGACATAAAAGGTGCTGTGTATTTTGGTCTGGAAAACTTAGGCTCCAGCCTGGCTTCTCATCATGTTTCATTTGATCCCTCTCGGTAAGGTTGACAGCTCCAGGGTTCCTACCTATTCTTGACGGAAACATGAGTGGTCATGCTGTCAGGGAAGAACAGAAGTCTTTGTTGTTTCTGCAGCGTCTGCCGGGCAAATGAGCAAAGGGTCTGTATGGATCAATGACTTCTCAAGGGGCTGATAGGCAGAGACAGACAGATGCAAGGACAGAACGCTTCCCCCAAAGGCCTCTTTGTTTTCTCTTACAAGGATGAATTCCTTGATAGGTTTTGGCAAACATCACAGGAGCAGCATTTATCAAACATGTTTTTTGATGTCTTGTGTTATGAGGTGTGATTTGGGAAGGTGTTCAAATTTCACAATGTATTAAAATTCTGTTGTAAAAGTAGCTGTAGCTGTAAAAGTACAGTAAAAGCAGCAGTACCCCAGTACCCCAAACATTAGCATCAAAATATACTTAAAGTACCATTTAAGAGTAATGGATTTTTTATTATTGGATCATAAGTATTTGTAATTATTATAAGTCTTAACTTTTAACATTAATAATTCATAACAATTCATAATTAATTTGTTGATTATATTTAATGGTGTATTAATCTGAATCTGCGAAGTAACTAGTAATTAAAGTTATGGAAAAAGGAAATACTCAAATAAGGTACAAGTATCTCAAAGCTGTACTTTTGAGGTACTTGAGTAATGTTACTTGAGGGAACGTACTCACTTTCTAGTTATTTAAGGAAAAACTTAAATGCGTAAATTGGTTGCTAGAAAACATCCGTAGCGCCCTCCAATCAAAATCAATTCACTATGTAAACACCAAGTTACTGTAGCATAAAAAGAATTTAACATAACTTCCAAAAATGACAGTTTCAGGAGGCCAAACTATGTTTACCTTACCCACTAAACTGGTGTAAATGTAGGAATGACATTGTTTTATTTATACATTTAGGTTTGGAATGTGTAGGAAATACCTGATTACACTAACTGAAATGTAATTTAAAATATTCCCAGTTAACTTGTTATCAAACAGTTACACATCCAGGAAACATTATCATTCATGCAAGGTTGTATTTCTGGTGACCATGAAGTTTAACATTTACCCTCTTTTTGCTCTGTTTTTGGTCTCCACAAACTCCTGAGACGAATATCTAGCACCTTGGCAGCTAAACGCTCTGCTATGTTCACCAGCTAGTTGCAAACTTTGTCTGTTTGACACTGTCAGCTCTGTTAAGGGAAATGTTTTGTTTAAGTCCAGTCTGAGACCATTCACATGCTTGTGTTGCTGTAAGAATAGCAACACAACATATTCCTGAAAAGTGAAGAAGAAAAATCACACCACTCCTCTCTGCTCACACAAATCTCAGAGCAGATGCCACTCCAACATAGTGTGACAAAGGATTTCTGTATCTATGCATCACTATCCACCTTCCTCCACCCCAATACACATGGTAATTCTCTGGCTGGAATCCCAAGCTCTGTGTGGAGAGTCCAACAGTATCTGGCATGCAGCTCGTCTTAGCTTATACTCCCTCCTCCGAGCCATGTGTCTGCCGGCGATCACAGACAAAGTGCGTGTGTGTGTTTCTGTGTGTAGGCCAATTCTGTTCCTCATCACACCTGATAGGCTGGATTTATTCTGAGCATCAGGTCGAGTCATGAGTCTGCACTCTGGCAGAGCAAGAGCTGTAATTATAGTGGGTAACAGGACATGTAATGCAACGTTAATGGCAAAGGGACTGATGCTTCGCCCACAATGTCCCCTTTTCAAACACGAATAGTGCATTAGCAGCAGGGATTCACTATCCCCACACTGATTGGAGCTATTAAATACAATTTAGGATATGTAGAAAGGGAAATGAAAGCTGGTGGCTGAGTGGTGTATATATGTAGACCAAATAAGCTTTGTCCTGGTATAATTCTGCCAGCATTATTCAAGGTCCTCTGGAAAAAAAAAAAAATCACCAAATTTTAATGGTGTCTAAATTACAGCTCTGAGGAAATTTTGAGTGCTTTTCGAGTCCTCTGCTGCTAATTTGGTTGTCTGCGAGGTTCATGAAAACGCCATTTGTGCTGCTTCCTCAAAAGTAATGATGAGACAAAAGGTCATTTACAGATGCAGTTGGTGTGTGCGTTTGTATGGGAGTTTTGTGATTTTTTTTTTTTTTACAGAGTGAGATTGTGTGCATGTGCAGATTGTGCATTTGTCCATGCACCTGCCAGCGTGCACGTGACTGACGAAGCGTAACCTTTTAATGTGTTTACACACTGACATTTCCCAAGATCTGTCGTGTTCCTCTATGAAACTAAAACCCTTGACATTCTTTAGGCTCACATTTCCCTGAGCTGCTGGCTCTGTCAGCTCTCATACCATGCAAAGCCGGCATCAACAACATAATTACATCAGCTTCAATACTTCATCTGCCCCCTGTCAAATATGAATTCAAGTTAACGTTTTTGCTTTAAAACAAAGTGTTCCATCGGCTGTCTGTGTGTGATGTAATTTGAACATCTCATGATCTTTCTCCGTCCACGTGAGTGGAATATTTGATATCGTGGTCATGACTTTGTAAAGCCATACTTTCCAAAGTACTACAATTTTCATAGCTGTGTAGATTTGAAGGCACTAAATAAAGCTGATGATTCACTCTTCTCTGTGTGCCCATCAAACTTCAGTGACTGAATCTCACTAAAATCAAAAAGCAATATTGACTTTCTAAAATCAAACACCCAGCTTATGATACTGACTCTTAAATGAGCCCTGACACCTAAATGACGTGCGTTTTAGGCCATCTGTTCATTTGGCTTCTCAATATGGCCACCCATATGCTGTGGGTCTCTGTATCATACTGTGAATTAACCTGCCAAACCAGGATTCACCTCATAATATTTTTATCCTGTCTGAATATAAGATCGAATGTGAAACTTTAAAAAAGTGTAATTCAACACCAAACAAAGTGCACCTGCTCATATTAACAATAATACTGCAGATTGTGAAACGTGCACTAATCAATTTTTATATTCACAATGGATTAAATCATTAAAATATGACATATATAATGT